TGTCTATCCTGCTCATCAACTTTAGTTTTGTTTGCTTCATCCAAAGTTGCCACAATGAAAAGCACAGGCAATTATTCAGCAATAGGGAACAAAGGGATGATAATGCACCAATAATCGGAAAGCTTCCCAAGCAATGAAGATTTAAGATTCAAAAACAAAAACAAAAAAAAAACACAACTAAAAACCAAAATTTGGCAAAAACTCAACACTGGAACAATTAAGGCCTAACTCACTAGAGCAATCAACACCCAGGAGCCACAAACACAAACCAGAAGGTCGAAATGAGGCACAATCAAGAGTCTGGAACAGTATCTAGTAACTGTACTGTTGTCGGAATAGTACCTAAACAATAGTTAATCCAACTCATATTATTATGATAATATGAATCATACTCTATCATGAACATCTAATAGTCCGCAACACTACATCCAATTTACTGAGAAACGAAAGCACCAGTCTCTTACCAACCTTCATGTAGTCTGTGCGAGGAGGATGTCTGAGAGTCATAGCTAGATCCATAACCATATGTTGAGAATCCATATTTGTATCCTTGTGTGTCATATCACGATCCATAATCATATAAGTGTCAGTTCCATGTTGTTCGAAAACTCTCTAAATTTACTAAGCACCCAACTATGCCTATAAATGAAAAGTGTAACTTATTTGACTTTTAAAATGATGTCACGAAAAATTGGCAAATCACCAATATCACTCAACATTAAATCAATGCAATGAGCGGAACAAGGAAACCAAAATAACTTCTTCCTCTTGTCCTCCAACAACCTACTGGCGACTACATAAGCCGAAGCACTATCCAATCTCCTCTCCAATTGAACCAAATTCTCCTCTCCAATCTCCTTCACCATTGAGTCAAGTAACTCAAACAACTTATTAGCATTCTTTATAACCCCAAAAGTATCCACCGATTTAAGAAACACCGTTCCACTAGGGCTATTAACAAGAAAGTTTGAGAGTGAATGTTGTTTCCCATCAGTCCACCCATCCGACATCAAAGTACAACCGTCTTTCTTCCATTCCATTCTATATTTATCCAAACTTACCTTAACATTTTCCACTTCTTTCTTCAAACAAGTAACTCTAACCTCATGACAGCTAGGGAGTTTTAATCCCTTGCCATACTCACCAACCTATTTCATCATCTTATCAAACAATGGACTTTTAACTAAATTAAAAGCTAGTGCATGTGCATAGAAGAAACGACATACGTCTTGAACCACCGATTCTCTTTTCTTCACCAATCCATTTAATGTTTGTTGCCTTCCTCTAACACCATTCCCCTTGCCTTTAAGCACAAAAGCATCCATGGTTCGGGTCCCCCTTTCAACATCCTCTACGAAACATTCATTAGGATCCTCATTTTTTCCTTTTGCACTTTCCAACATTTGGGAAAATTTCTCTAAAACATCCGGTGGACATTAGGTACATGGTGCTACATCAACACGAGTCCCCGCAAAATGATGCTTCATTCTACTCACACCACCGCATTTCTCAAGGCCACAATAATTGCACTTTAAGTGCATTCTATTATCACCCACACGAGAACAATGATCCCATGTCGGATCTTCATTCTTTTTTTGCTTCGCTTTTATATTCTTCTTTACCATTTTCAACTTCAAGTCTTCAACAAGAAGTAACAACTGAAAAGAGAAAAAAAAACAATAGAACATATAGCTTAGAACATATATATAGTTATTACAATTTACAAGAAGCAAATAACACAACATTACAAATTTACAAAAAGCAAATAAAGGAACAAAACTCCTTTTCAGCACAAAACACTGAAAACAGAAGGAGGAGTTCCAAGCTTCCAACCCAAAGCCTTCATCAAACTAGGCTACCAGCAACTTCTCCATCACAAAATTTCAAACAAATCAACACTCTATTTCAACCACAAACACCCAAAATAGAAACCCCCATGGACAACCACAAACACACTAAACAAATCAACACTCCATGGACAGCCACAAACACTCAAAACAAATCAACACAGCAACGAAAAAATAGAGCATGCTTCAGGTGAAAACTAGAGCATCATTTGAAGTTTGAAACCCACATTTATATTGTTTATATACAAAAATCTTCATTCATATTCGTCCACCCACAGACCACAGGAACAAAAAAAAAACAGAAATTAAGAAACTACAACAATAAAAAAACAGAGCACAGCTTATATAAAAATAGAGCAAAACTTGAAGAAGACGTAAGGCCTGCTATAAGGCTGTTACTGTTTCGCTGCGGGAAGAAGAAGAAGAAGAAGAAAAAAAGAAGAAGAAAAGGAAGAGACATACCTCAGACTCAGAGCCGATGAAGCTTCAGCCAGCGTGGTGTGGTAGGCCCATGGTTCGAAGTCACGGTATCGGCCATTGACTCGGAGGGTGCTGATACATATCGATCGTGGCGCGGTATCGGCCGATATGCTCAAAACTCAAGATAGAAGCTTCAAAAAAATTTGAAAAAATTTAAAAAATTTTAAAAATATAAACATCATCATTCATGCATCATATGTCCACAATACATTCAAAAACACATTAAACATAATTAAAATGAAACATAAAATCGCTACCGAGATTAATTATCATTATCATTGTTCAACATAGGCATTTAAGAACATATTGTGTATTTATTTACTGAGTAAAAAACCTGAAAAAAACAGCCAAAAAAAATAGGAAAAAAACACAACTGTTTGAAGGGTATAGGAATTGAACCTAGGACTTCCTAGTTGGTAACATACATTTCCACCAATTGACCTATTGCTTGTATATAACTTTAAAGACAAATAAATATATTTAAAGACTCAGTAAAAGCCTGGAAAAAAAAAACCAGAAGCAAGAAAAAACAGATAAAAAAACCTGATGAGGTAGGAATTGAATCCATGACTTCTGGTTTGATAACCTACGTCTCTGCCACTTGACACATTGCTTTTATATGATTCTAAAGGCAAATATAAATATTTAAAGACTTAGTAAAAAAAAACCCACTTTATAACTTACCTGCACAGTCCTCTGTGCCACACTGCCCGTCACAACACAAGAGGGAGGGAGAGAGAGAGAGAGAGAGGCAGATAGAGAACCGTTCTTTACCAACGGCGATTCTTTGCCGAAGAAGACCAACGGTGATTCTTTGCTGAAGAAGATGGTCACAATGAAAGAGAAAGAAGAACCAAAGAAAAAACAGAAGAAGAAGATGCAGATTACAGACTCTATTTGTTTGATCTCCAGGTATGTCTTAAATCCTAAGTCCTCTTGGTTTTATAGTTGAAAAATAGGGGTTTAGGTTACCAAGTTCACATGTGTTTCTGCCATGTACGATTAAGTTTCACATGGGTTTCTCATCAATATAGCAAAGTGGTCGGACTGATTCTTTGCTTTTGCTTTATTTCTCATCCTCTCTTTGCTTTATTTCCCATCCTTTTTTTTTTTTTTGGATTTTTGTTCAACCTGAAAAAATGACTGACTGATATTTAGGCTTTTACAGATGTGGGTTTGGATTTTTGTTCTTTGTCTTAGGATTTTTCACTGCCTATTTCGTCTTGAAATGATTCTGGTAAGGATCGGCCGAGTTCTTCTTATATCGTCCGATACTAACGAGTTGAACCGAGATATCGGCGATATCTGATCAAATCGTCATTTTCCCGTACCGCGTACCGTTATCGTATCGACATTGGCCGAGTCAGATACGACTCGGCCGATAGCTTGAACCATAGGTGGGTCTCCTTCAAGGCTTCAACAGAAAACGTTCTTTGACAAAGTGAGAAAGAGACAAAGATGGAATATTTATTTATTAGGGCCTGTCTCCTTGAAAAAACGACGTCGTTTTGACTACCTAAGCTTCAACAGAAAACGTTCTTTGACAAAGTGAGAAAGAGACAAAGATGGAATATTTATTTATTAGGGCCAGTCTCCTTGAAAAAACGACGTTGTTTTGACGTTTATGTGGGTTTAAAAAAAAAAGAAAACGAATCGAACAATATAGCCGATTCGGTTCGATTCGTGCGATTCACTTATGATGCCAAACCCAAATTGATTCATACATAAGATACGAATCGCCCACCCCATGAATTGAACCGAATCGTACGATTCGACTCGCAAATCGTACGATTTTAACAACAGTGCTTACACCTTTTATTTGGCTATATATACAGGTAGGTTTGTCAAAATTCGACACGACACGATTAACCGACACGAATTAAGCGGGTTTTGGTGAGATCTTAACGGGTTTGGGTGGTGATCTTAACGGGTTTGGGTGGTGATTTTAACGGGTTTGAGTGGTAAACGGATTAACCTGCTAAACACGTTTAATAAATGGGTCGTGTTCGAGTAAAACCTACTAAACTGTTTATCACATGTTTACACATTTAAATAAAATTAATATAATAATAAATTAATAATTATTTTAAAAAATTAGTCAAAAAAAAAAATAAAGAAATCAATACAAAAAAAAGTAAAATAGTAGTTCAAAGACAAAGGTAAAGAGATGGAGAGCAATTAATGACAAAGGCAAACCAACCCCTTTTGTTTTTGTCCCACATCGACAAATGAAGGGAGATAGGGATGGTTGGCTTGCCTATAAAAGGCAATGGTCTCTTGCCTTTTTTTTTAGCCTTCAAGTTTGATTTTGATGTAAAACTCAGCTAAAAATTCCTCTTTTTTGAGGTAAATACAATTGGCAGTAAAAAAAATAGTGTATTAAAATTTATTGATATAATTTTTTTTTAAATTAAACAAGTCGTGTCGTGTTACCCATTTATTAAACGGGTCAAGATCGTGTTCGTGATGAGATTTTTCACCCGTTTATTAAACGTGTCGTGTACGGGTTTACGTGTATTTCACCTGTCACCCATTTAACTCGACACATAATCGTTTAACCCAACACGTTTGACACCCCTATATACAGGGTCTGCACTCAATTTGTACATTCTTTCTCTCAAAAAATTCTAGTTATTCATGTTATCTAAATAAATGGAGAGCATGGAATAAACATTAATTGTACCTAATAGACGTCAAGCAATAACTCCTTTCTGGCTTACTAGAAGGCTTAACTTGCAAGTAGGCATGCAACCTTCCAGCAGGATCTAGTGAATCTGTTCTCACCATTTTATGCATTGCAACTCTCTGTAATTTCGATCCTGTAAAATTCGACAACAAAACAACAAACAAATAGACAAATTAGATCCAATAACATTTGATGTCAGCAAGGGGAAAAAAAGAAAATATCCTGCATACCGGATTGTGGAGCATCAGAAGGAGAACATTTGTTTGTAACCATAGCACTTGATGGAGATGGATCTACTATCTGTTTCGATAGTAAAACAAAAGATACCAGCAATTAGTAAACAAGTTAGTAAGTGTAGATATGCCCATAGTGAAAAAAGCAAAAGTGTAACACTAGAAGCACTGAAACATCTTGAAACAACTTGAAACATAACGAAAAATTAGTGAAAACATGTCAAAACATTCTAAAACAACTTAACGCATTGAAATTTTGATTTAATTATTGATTCATTTCAATCCCCTTAGAAACAAAAGCATTTTGCCCGTTTCGGCCATATCGTCACGAATATTTTGATCCTTAATTAGGAGGTTCAGTTGGTGAATGGTACATTGGTTACAGGGTTCAAAGTATCCAATGCGGCCACCTCCAATCCGATAACGATATAAGATACATGAATATCGCAGGTCAGACGTGAATTGATGTTGACCGGTCAGAACTCGGCAGTATCGGTAGAACTCAAAGCAACTCGTTTGACTCGGACGAATGAAACTGGTTTTGACCTGGTTTTGCGAAATATTTTGCAAATCCAGAATCTCTGGCAAAAGAAAAAAAAAATCCAACACAAAGGGGAAAGGAAGAAGTATGAGATCAACGGGAAATCTTCTGGACAATTTTATAAAAAAAACCTAATCTAATATAATTATATGAAATAAATCAAAAACCAGAGACCCAAAGCAAAAACCCACATGAAAAATCGTCAATTTCTCAACCTAAGACATACCTGAAAATCGAAGAATCCCTCCTACTTCTTCATAGCCATGAAGCCGACACCATAGGCCAACGTCAACCCCCCACCTCCTCTCTCACTCTCTCTCTCTCTTTTTGCATGTAGCTGGCGAACTGAAGCGTCTAGAAGACTCTATGTCTTGAACGTCTTGGAAGATGCTGAGTCTTTTAAGACTGTGCAAACATTAATTCTATATCATCCCCCAAGACATTGGAGTTTTTTAACTTAAAAGAGTCCGACTCCTAGACAGACTCTCTTTTTCAAAATATCATTAATTCTTGTTCCTTTTTGGATGTGTAAATGACTATAATATTCTATTTTATATTTATTAAGATTTTCTTAGTGATACAAATTGCATGTATTTGCATTTTTAATTTTTGTTTAAAGCTAAATTTTAAAATAAATTAGACACAAATTTAAAATTTATGGGTAAATATTTCTATCATTTATGGCTTGGTTTGTTCTTTGATGATTACATTAAAATATGATGATGATAAATATTATCGATAATGCGCATATATTTCATTTTTACTCTATTTAATTCGTTAGATGATTTTTTTTTTTTTTTGGGCATCTAATGCATGAGTATTTTTATTCATGTTCTTTTACAATTTTTCATGATTTTTTTGGGTCTTCTATGTAGCATTTTTAGCTTATCTACTGATACTGTATCGCAACCAATGTGTATCAGTACCCTCCGACTTGATGACCAATATTGCAACCTTGAGCCATGGTTGGTTGTGTGGGCTATGGACCTATTGGTGGGCCGATTACACAGAAAAACTAAGGCATAGGCTACAATGGCAGTTTCGTAAATATCGTTATGATCCCTCAACATCCTTTGTCTAGTGTCTACTCCCCTGCGGCTGGAACTTTGTTATTTTTGTGTATACTGCATATGTAAGGGAGCCATAGTCTCCTTGAGGCAATTGGGTGTGGCAACCCTAGCGCCCAATCCTTGGCAAGTAAAGCAAGGCAAAACACCAAGAACCTTGCCACAATTAAGGCAATGCACACAAATTGGAACCCAGACTAAATGTGGGACCCTCCCATTTGAGAGACCCATCGCAATGGAAGCCCCACACATGGCTTAGGGAGGCAGTACATCGTGGCACGGATTGGACACTTGGAGGCCAGTAATGCAGGGTTGTAGGCTTAGCAAGGGCATCCTTGCAGGTGTTAAACACCAAGTCATGGGCTGAGTATGACTTGGCATATTAGCATAGACAAAGCAACAAGAAGTGGGCACACAGTTGACATTAGCTGATTATACAAGCACTTCAAGGAGGTTATTAGCTAATTTATCTGGTGGTCACTAAGACAACTACTCCAACAGGTTGGGAACAAATATGAAGGTGACAGATGGCTTGGTGTTTTGTCGGAGAACCACCCCAAACCCTTGTGGCATTGCTGTGAGTGTGCCAAGTGCCAACACACCTAGCAGTTGGGATTATCAACTGCAAGGCCTTGTTAGCCTGGGCTAGAAGGTGTCAGTGTATCCTAGGCAATTGGATTGTAACTATCCTTGTAGCCTATAAATTGGTTTGCTTTGGAGAATATACCAAGAGAAAAAAAGGGTGTATATTTTGCAAGCAACCCTTAGTTGAACTCCTTTGTACCTGCCTGAGAAGTAAAAATAAATGAGACATTGTACTGTCTTGTTTACCTATCGAATATTTTTCTAAGAGAACTTCTTGAATGGTGTTGGCTGATACTAAGTACGACACTTCCTTCGCAGCAGCAAAAAATTGGGGCAAACTTGACCCCTGTGACAATATTCATATTGAAAATCTGGACATTAAGTCCTAGATGAAAACTATTTCTAACACCAAAGTAGAAAATTTGGTTTGTACCAATAAAAGAAGTCATATGGATTATAGTGGTTATAGGCAGCCACCTGAGCACCTAGGCAACCATCTATCATCTTGAGCACCTTGGCAACTAACCACTACGTTGAGCGATTATGCAACCATCACCTAGATAGCAAACATCCAACGAGATTTTTAGGTGCTTGCATGAGTACCTGGGCAACCACCTATGTGATATCTAGATTGATCCACAATGCTTGGGCAATCGACCAAGAAAGGCAGCACTACCTCAAGCTTTTATTAGGTTGCCAACGAAATACATGTAAAGTACTTCTTACTTCATGTTATTTGATGATCTATGGATTAGTTTAAAAGGAATATGAATATTGTGAATGCATGATTTATATTGTTAGGTTTTTTGAGAGAAGAGAAGGAAGAGAGAAACGGGAGAGGAGTGAAATAGGTCACCGCCTCTCTCACCTCATGTATATATTTGTCAAAGTAAATTAAAAAGAATGGTATACCTCTTGGGGATATACTTATTACAAGAATGTCACTCACATATTCTAACAGTCTCCCTCAAGCTAGTGAATACATATTATATAATTTCAACTTGAAACAAAGCCTTATAAACAAACAAGCAAGTTGATCTTCGGATTTAACAAATGGTGCGACAGTACCTCCATGCAACACATTTTCTCTAAAAAATTAACAATTAACTTCAATGTGTTTCGTTCATTCATTAACCACATGATTAGACGTAGAGGCAAAGCTAGAAAATCTTCCTTGGTTAGGCACTTAATATTTTTTTTCTGCTCAATAAAATTAAGATCATATACTAATTATATGCATCACATGTGACATTTAAAAATTCCCTAAACCAAAAACAGTAATGCATAGTTTATACAAGCAAAAAACATTTAAAAAACATTATTTACAATTCTTTATAAAAAAAAAAAGAGAGACTAATTAATTAAAATCATTTATAATTTCGACCAGTTTTCATATGTTAAAAAACCTTTCATGGTAACTTAATTAGCAATATCATTGAAAATGTCTTTCTTTTGTATAAAATCATATTATTAGTCTCCTAATTATTACCCATTAGGTTACGCAATCGAGTTTTGACAATTGTTGTAGTTTAGAATTCTCTCCCTAAAATGGCAAATGCAACTGGTAAAATTAACGACAAACCCACAAATAAATAAATTAATAGATATAATACATATTTTGTAATCTTAACTATTTCTTTTGAGTAAGACTGTCAATTCTTTTTAGATTTGAAAATATAATACTAACGCATACATCATTAGATTAAAGAAAAAAATTTACCATACACAAAAAGGCTCCAACTCGAACACTCGAACCTAAGCACCAAGTTTGCTCAAAATACCTGTTCTTGAAATGCCCTTGCCTCGTTGGAATTTCTCAATCTTGATTCAACTACAGATTGTATCTTCTCAATAATAACTTCCTGATTCAAGAGGCTTACCTGCATATCCATACACATTACTCTAGAAAAATTAAGAAAAAATTGCATTATAGACAAATATTTTGGTCCAAAAAGTGAAATAATAATAACCAGCAGACAATGGTATTCTGCTGAGTATCTGACAGGACTCTTTGGTTTTTCATCACAGCATACACTCAACAAAATGCCCAATCTATGCATCACCTAGCATTTACACTCCCTTAGGCCACACATAGCCAGGGCTCTACAATTCATATTTTGTACGTGCATAAAACAGCCGTGTATCCATATAGATAACTGGAAGTAAATAGCATGAACTAAGTGGATCAAGGTTGTGAAGGCTTTATTAGGGCTAATAATGTATAAACCATCGATATTTCCTCAAGGTACCTCACTAAATCGTGTTTGTGTCAAATACGAACACTCAGATAGTCACAGGTCTATGTCCATAACTTTGGAAACACATCCATGATTTGAAAATGAAATAATTTAATTATGAGCATGTATCCTATACTTCTCGGGTAGTCTGAGATGTGTCTTTCCCTCCATCATTGAGCTGCAACATTTCTAATATACTATATGAGGTGAGGGAAAAATAACTGTGGCCTTATACGCGGGGTTATTTTTTGAAAAAATAATTAAGATATAACAAGGTTTAATCTTGTTGAATTTCATCATTGTTTTCCATCAAGGACCATATTTTCTGTTGAAACACATGGTAATTTTGTGCAACTTGATGCATGCTTCCGTGGTTTAGACATATTTATAGACAACCGAATATGACACCGGTAAGGAAGAGTAATGTGATAGCTATTGACGATAATCAAAGGGGCTAACAAAGACCAAAACTAACTTTAAATGAAATAGTAGAAAAATATAATAATTTATGGTTTAACAGAAAGTATGCCCTTACTTTCCAGAAAAAATATGGCCTTAATAGAGCACAGTGGCGAAACAAAAATCATGTATCCGACCCCAAAAATATCGAAACAAGACTTTGTTGAGTTGAGCTTACCCTTCAAGTATGTCCCTGCTCTCCCAATTTCAGAAATCAAATCCCTTAAGTTTGACTTGTGCTTCCATAAAGTCACTCATTCCAAATCTTTTAAAAATTTGTAATGAAAAGGTTCATGTGACTAAACTATGGGATATTTTTGACCAAATAAAGATATTAACGTAAACCCAGTCACCAAACATTCCTATACCAGGACAAATAAATCATGTCAAATACAAAGTATTTCCAAACAATACCAGATCATGTTGGCAAATCAGTCCTGCAACCAGTTTAAATCATTTTTTGTGAAGTCAAAAAATAACCCCATGGTTTGGTGACTTTGGTTACGTTTGGGTCATATTCAAGCTTTCCAATACAAAAATCTAGCAGATTTCGAAGGAGGGACTTGGTTGAAACACAGGTCAAACTTCAAATTGTTTAATAGTTGCAACTGAAAATCGCGGACCAAGTAGAAGCATATACATACTTGGCTATTGAAAATTGTAATTTGTGTTTCTTTCTTTCTATCTCACCTCTCTATTCCTCTATACTATTGCTATGGCTGCCAATGGAATGTCGTTGGAAAGCATAACATCTATATGACTAGACTTCTGCCTCTTTCTCATGTTTACTGTACCCTTTAACTATCTTTTCAACTTAATTTTCATTTGTCAACTGTGATTTTGATCATATTGTTTGATTTTATTCCATTGGCTGTGTAAGGCTGGATCCTCATTCCAAGAAGTCGATTGCAACAAGCAGTGTAGTTGGAGGACTAAATGTACTAGAGAAACTGCATGTTTTTTGTCACTGTTTCTTTCACTGGTTCTCTTTCTTTCATTCAAGTCTCAAGTCCTAATAAAACAAGTTGAGAGTGAGAGGTAGGGTAAGTTAAACTCTTCTCTGCCTCTCTCATATTGTGTTCATTCTCTAAACTTAACATGGTATTAAAGCAAGGTTGATCTAAAATTTAATCTGAAAATTTGAGTGCAGGATTCTTGTTCTTCTCTTCTTCTTTCTTTCCTTTTCTTTTCCTCGTTTGTCCCCATATACTATGCAACCACGACAATGGTCTAGAGTCATGGGTTATGGTTGAACTCGATGCCACTATTCGTGTGTTGAAATTGAGGTGCTATGATCGAATCGAGTATTGAAAATTGATTCAAGTACTATTTTGTTGCCAGAAACCTTGTTGGGTGTGTTGTTGTGGTTGCCAGCGATCTGGTGTGTATCATCGCCGTTACCAGAATAGTCTGTCAAAGTTCTGTGATCTTCAACCGAGTTGATTATGTTGTGGTGGTCGTCAGAGGTCTTTAGTGGTGTTGTTGCTGTCGGAGATCAAGAGTGGTGGCCAGAGGTCTTCTGTAGCGTCAGTGTAGCGAGCCGTCAATAGCTAGGGTTCCATTGAACCCTTCGAGTGGAGGAGAATATATCCAAGGCATCTAGGTCGAACTTCGGGTTCGATTAGGTCATAGGCTAAATTTATTGACCAAGCCCAATCAAATTTGAACTCTGCCTAAGCCCACTGTCAAGCCTAGCCCAAGCCTTCAAGCCCATCCAATCTGTTCAGGTCCAGCCCAAGTGAGTTTGGTCCATCCCAGCCCAAATCGGGTCAGTTCATCCAGTTTATTGAATTTCAAACCAGTTCAGATCTATTTCCGACCAGTTCAGGTCTAGTTCAGACTGGTTCAGTCTGATTCTATTGATTTTAAAACTGGTTCAGTCCGATTCTATTGATTTTAAAACAGGTTCAGGTCGATTCCGTGGGTTTCAAGTAGGTTTTGTGGCTCTTTTACGACCGATTTAGTCTAGTTCAAGTGGTTTTATAACCGGTTCCGTGGGTTTCCAACTGGTTCTCTACTTTATAGCTTGTTCAGAGGTAGTTTTACACATAGTTCAACTTCCGTTGTGACTCATTCAGCCCTCTCTTCCATAAATCTATGCTTTTGCACTATTTAGGTGACTATTTTAGCATTATTTGGTCTACTTTTCTTTGTTTGTCTCCAAATCTGTGTTATTACTATAGAACCCAAGACTAATACTCCATCTCTTGTCCCAACCATGTTGTCACCCACACTTTCCTCGACTAGTCTTCTTAATGTTCCCATGACTTCTATCAAGCTCAATGGGACGAATTATATTTTATGGTCCCGCTCGGTCCAAGTCATTCTTAAAGTCAAAGGCTTAAAAAGTATTTAGTTGGCAAGAAACCCAAAGAAAGTAACCCTAGATTCGACTAGTGGGAACAGGAGGATGAACAAATTATTTCCTTACTATTAAATACCATTGAGTCTCATCAACTCTAAATTGCTTTACCTCAATACTGCCAATGAAATTTAGGACCATTTGACAGTCAAGTATTCTGGCACTGGTAATTTTATTCGTACTTATGAGGTCTGCAAACAATATTTTCGCATTGAGCAGGGTATTATGAGTTTAGAAAACTATTATTCCCAAGTTAGGGGAGTTGGTGAGGAATTAAGGATTTACCACCCATTCACCACAGATGCTACATTTTTGCAACTACAGCGTGAGGATATGAATGTTGTTCATTTTCTTGTTGGTTTGAAGCCTAAGTATAAGCCTATCCATGCCCAGATCATAGGTAGCTCTAACCTTCTATATCTTCCCGAGATTTTCTCCCGTTTACTGCGTGATACTTTGTCCGTTAACCGTTCAACTTCAAACATTGATCATGTCTCTTCTGCTGACCGCTCAGCCCTTGTTGTCTCTAATGACAACAATAGTAGTACTCGAGGTGGACATGGCAATCAAGGTGGTTGTGGTAGTCGTAGGGCCCATAATGGAGATTGTACTGGTACTCGTATATGTACTCATTGTTGTTGTACCAACTACATTGCTGATTATTGTTGAGATTACATGGCAAGCTATCTGATGATGCTAATCAAGCCTCGTATCAGGACAATACTTCCTCATTGCCTAAACCATCATCTCCCTCAGTTCTTCCCGACTCAGCATTAGTTACTACTACACGAGAGGAGTATGCTCAATTCATGTCTCAACGACAAGCAGTCCCATCTTCCTCTACTATTACTTTTGCTCAGTCAGATATCGCTCCGTCACTTATTTACTGTCCTCCATCCGCAGTCCCTAGATTATAGATTCTAGCACTTCTAATCACATAACTACTCAATTGAGTACTGATATGTCTTTATCATCTGTTTTATTTGTCCTTTAGTTTTCCCTTCAGTTTACTTTTTATTAGTAAGATTACACGCTCACTTAATTCTTCAATAACCTTATATCCTTCTTATTATACTTTTTAGGATCTCCAGACAAAGAGAAAGATTGGTACGAGGCATAAAACTGGTGGTTTCTATTACTTTAACATTGATCATTCTCCTCGCGCACTTCAAATCTCGTCATCTCTCTTTCAGTGCTACTGTCGTCTTGAGCATTCCTCCTTCTAGAACCTAAGGCGTCAAGTTCCTAACCATAGTTATATGTCGTCGGTGTCTTGTAAAGTTTGTCAATTTAGTAAGTATCACCATGTGTCCTTTCAGTCTAGAATCAATAATCGTGTGTCTAGTCTATTGGATTTAGTACATTATGATGTGTGGAGTCTAATAAAGAATATTTCATCCAATAAATTTTCTTATTTTTGTATTATTTGTGGATTATTATTCTCATGTGACTTAGTTATTTCTTATAAAAGCTCATTCTGAATTGTTTTCTATATTTGAGACATTCTGTAAGGAAATAAAAGCCCAACATGGTTGTCGTATTCGTATTTTGAGTTCTGATAATACTCATGAATATGCTCTAATCTTTTTTCTACTTATCTTTGTAAAACTAGAATTATTCATCAAAATTCATGTGCCTATACATCTCAACAAAATGGTATAGCTGAGCGTAAGAATCGTCATCTTTTGAAAGTGACTCACGCACTTTTATTTTAGATAAATATTCCTCACTACTTTTGAAGTGATGTTCTTACTACTTGTCATCTCATTAATTGTATACCATATTTTGTGTTTAATAGTCAGAGTCTATACGATGTAAATCG